AATTCCCGCTCACTGGCTGAGCGAGGTGCGGGCGCAGCACCGAGGTTTGCAATCCCGTTGCTGGTCCCTGGTCCAGTACGGGCGTGACACTGAGGGTTGCAATCCGTTGCCGGACACGAAAAAGACAAAAAGGAAAAAAAACAAAAAAAGGAAGAAAAAAACATCTTTTTCTGAACACTGGCTGCTTCTAAGCCTTTTTGAAACCAAATAAGGAATTAATTCATCAATAGAAGTAAATGCAAATGTAAACACTGTACTGTTCTTTCACATGGATGAACAAGTACCTGGAGTGTGAAGTTTAGAAATGGAATCAGACAATTTTCCATTATAAGTGTTAATACTTTTCTGGGGAGCTCCTTTCTCTTTTCCCCAGTTAGAGAAGAAATCCCTTTCCAAAATGGGGTCCCTTGGCAATAGGGAGGCTGCGGCTTAGGAAGCAACAAGCATCCTCTAGGGAAAGCTCCATCCACTCCTCTCTCAGCATCCCACACTCCCCAAATCCTCATCTATGAAGGAGTCAGAGAGGGCTAGGAAAGAAGTGGGTCAAACTGACAGAACCAAAATGGGAGGGGAGGGGCTCCAACAGTGAGGCAACCATTAAGTGATTTCCACTTGGGGTTCTCAGCTGGTCACAGAAACCACACTCTGCCATTAGCTAGTCCTGTCATTTTGATTTCCAGGATCTAGATCTGTGGAGGTATCTGTGACATGGAGAGAACCCTGGGGACTTAGATTAAAATTCTGTCAATTTTCCCTTGGATCACCATACTGCTTCCATATCCTGACAACTCTGAAATTCCCTTTTTATATATCAGAAACTCTGGGAACCAACCACAGAGAGAAGTCTTAGTCAGACGTGACTCCCAGCAACAGAGAGCCCCACTTATGTAGTGCTGGCAACAGGCCCATGAAGACAGATTGCAGTCCAGAAACACTCCAGGATGTCTCTGCATCAAAGTGCACTGTCACCTGGCTCACACCCAGCCTTCTGAAAGCCTCACCTAGCCCCACCCCCGCTGGAGAAATCCACTTACACGCAGTGACAGCAGGGTCTTGGCTGCACCCTTCTGCAACTTCGTGCCATTGAGGGGCAACTGGCCGATCTGCTGGCCCTGGGCATAGAGCAGGGTAGTGCCCACAGATGAAGGGGTCACCTCAGGCTGGCTCACGGGTGGAGCAACCGTGGGTACACCTGGCAGTGGGAAAGAGTAGGAGGGTATGTGGAGGAAGAAAAAGTAAACAAGGATGGGTGGGGGACGGGAGAAAAGTTACTTTCCCACATAGCAGAGCCTCCAAAAATATCAAAAGTGCTTCACCCTGGATAGATGTACTCCAGATGTTCTTCAAAAGAAATTCTAATTTCTAGAGACTTTTTCAAGGATCAGTTATGCAAATCACTGCCAATTACTAGGGAGGAAGACAACAAAATCCTTCCCTCAGAACAAAGCAAAACAGTTTTCTGCTTTTTGTTTTTTAAGGAAAAAAACCAGCCAGTATTGTGTAAGCTTTTCTTTGGGGTCCCAGGGTGACACCTGTCCCATTTCACCCTGGGCTGGGGAGGGAGAGAATGTTGAACTGAGTTCCAGATGTTCTAATTATAGAAACCACTAAGGACAAAACCAAACATTAAGTCCAAATTGTGATCTTGGGTGGACCAGATTATAAATCGACACAGCCTCCTAGTGACTTTTTTCATTAGACCTGGTGAGCCCTTATTCCCCCACCTTCACCCACAACTGGCAGCCTCCCTACGGAAAAACCTCAGCTGTGGCTGAGTGAGGGCTGGCCCAGTGCTTACATGCTGGGGTGGTGCCTGGATGGGAGCGCGTGCCCTGCACCTCTCTGCCATCTTTGTCTACACACCAGCAGAAGTCACTCTTCCCGTGGCACTGCAGGGGGATGAAGTGGCCCAGGTCATCACACTGAGGCATGTACTGGTCATCCCGCGGCGTGCCACCATATTGCTCCAGTAGGTTTTCCCTCCAGCGTTCACAGACGGTCTGGGGCCTCTGGGTGGACTCTGAGCAGATGGGGAGTAAAAGCCTTTGATTGTGAGCCAGGGACAGAATGCAGCCTTCTTCCTCCTACTGTCTGGTAATGGGGCCCCCTGATTATCCCCCGAGGCTCAGAATTCAAGTCATAGAAGCTCTAGGCCAATGGCAGTCACTAGACTGCAGCATGCTGGCCAAGTTCTCCTAATGTAGCACTAATGCAGTAATGGTACCTACTCCTGCCTCACTAGTGCATAGGGCTCCTGTTTAATAAGCTCCACCTCGATACTTCATCTAAATCACACTCTTCAAGGCAAAGCAGAGCTGCTACATGGTAGGATAATAGATGGGTCAGACTCCAGGCTTCCAAGAATGTTAATAAGTAGGGAAATATCAGTAAACCAGGCAGCAGGAGGTAAAAATCCAGAGCCTGAAAAATCCACCAACTAAGGCCTCAGGCCAGGCTAAATCAAGAGTGGGTTGGTCTGACCGATTAGCACACTTTGGAGAGCATGGTGCTGATAACACTAAGGTCAAGGGTTCCATGTTCTACTGGTTAGCTGCCCCCCCCCCCCAAAAGATGGGCTGAGTGTCATAGAAATATACCATTAAAGAGCCTTATGAGATTTATGTGCCTAATCTGGCCCTCCAAACCTCACCAGGTGTGCATTGGAATCCATCCCCATGATAGCCAGGTTTGCAACGGCAGGAGAAGGAACCAGGAGTGTTGTAGCAGGTAGCCGCAGGATGACATCTGTTTTCTGAGCATTCATCAATATCTACAGAGGTCAGAAACAATGACAGAGAGAGAGAGAAAGGGAAAGGAAGAAAGGAACAGCATGACTTCATTGCACAGTTCACACTGCTACATGGTCTCAGTACACATGGATTGAAGCTGAGCTATCAACTTCAGAAGAAATGCTGACACCTAAAGGTAAGCTTAATAGAAAAAAGAAAGTCGAGGAACCTGCAAGTCAACACATTACACTAGGAATGTTCAGTGTAGAAATCAAATGTGTGGTCACTCTCAGAAAAAAAATATCCTGCAGTATACTTCTAGAGCATCTTTCATCTACAGTGAATTCCAGGAAGTTAGTACCTTTGAACTAACCTTTAGACTATAAACCATTAATTTCCTTTCAGTAATACCACAGTAAAGGTAAGTATATGTAACAATAGTTTTTTCCTTTCATTGCTGGCACCATTTCCCTATAATATTCATTTCTGATGCAAAGGAGCCAAGTGAGGCCCACATACTTTTTCAACTAAGAAGCACATTCAGTCTTGCCTAATCAGAATCCTACTATCCAGGACCCCCAGTGAAACAAGTATTTACTTCCCACTTTTAGAAGAAAGAGAAAAAAATATAAGAAAAATATTATCAAGGGTTTTGAAAGAATACATAAAACAATAAAATATAAATTTATCAGGCATATCAGTGTAAACAATTCAGGCCCCTACACTCTCCTTGTGGTAGCATGAGGATTATTTTTCACAATCATATTTCTCAAAACTTCAAAATCCTGATACTTCAAACAAAAGCCAATTTATATTCCTTCTATTTTATTTACTGAAATCAGCATATGCTGACAATAGCCAAGTCACATTCCCCCCATATAAAAAAAAAAAAGAAAAACCTTCAGAGTTGAATTGTTAAAACTAATGCCCAATGGATGAGATAAGCTATGTTAAGAGACAGGAAGTCTTCCAGAGTAAAAGGAGGATAAACAAAGAGTGTAGGTCTGATCAAGGCTTGGCTGAAAATGAAAGCAGTTGTCACATCCACAATAACGACCAGAAATGATTTTTAAAGGTGTGAATAGAAAAAAATGTAGGATGGATGATCATTGTGAAAACTAGAAAATGGGAGTGAACGGCATCAGTTTGGTGGAGTCCACAGTAGAGACACATCAACAAGGGAAGACAGAGATTTGCAGCCCTAAATTTGATGTGAATGGTCTGGGAACAGAGGTGGCTCCTCACCCAGCCTCCCATGACCCAGATGAAATCCCTTCTAGGGTTGTCCCTATCACCCTGATTCTGACCACACTCTAACTGAGCCACCTCCTCATAACAAAGGTGCTTTCTCAGGTACCATGAAGCAAACATGTTAAAGCAACATTCCTCAGTAAACATTGCTTCCATGGTCACCTTCATTTCAGCTACAAAGGCAGGAAAGTAGACACGAGTTCATTTGTAAGGTTAGAAACAAGGTGTTCTGGTTACCCCCAAATAAACCACTATTATCCTATTTCATTATGCTTGAGATTGACTCTCTCTCTCTCTCCTTAAAAGGACAACTCAGGGCCAGCCCGGTGGCGCACTGCTACAGTGCGCCGCTTGGGAGCGCGGTAGCGCTCCCGCCGAGGGTTCGGATCCCACGTACAGACCGGCCGCTCACTGGCTGAGCGAGGTGCGGGCGCAACACCAAGGGTTGCGATCCCATTGCCGGTCCCGGTCCGGTACGGGCGCGACACTGAGGGTTGCGATCCGTTGCCGGTCACGAAAAAAGACAAAAAGGAAAAAAAAAAAAAAAGGACAACTCAAATGTCCAATTGGGCAAAGCTGGTGATCATCTAGTTCCTTGGGCCTGGAAGAGGCTGTAAAACTGGCTATAAAACCAACGCTGTAAAAATTAACATCCAGCCAAATGCAGGAAATTAAAGCTATTCACAATACATATGCTAAAAGCACTTGAAATGGTAACAGGAACCCCAAGCAATGACAGGAAGCAGGAATTCCTGAGACACAGAGCCTATTTCTGGAACCCACGGAGCAGTTTCTTATGGTTCCTTTTGAACTAAGAGAGAGGGGCTTCCCCAGAGCTACCCAAACACTGACGTTCCTAGAACCTATGGCCTAGGAATTCGGACCAAATCTGAAAGAGCAGCCCTCCTTCCCACAGACACTGTTTTCACCATCGTAGGTAGATATCAAAGTTTAAGGTAGACAGGAACTGTTATGAGTGACCGAGGAGGAGAAGAAAGTCCCTGAGGGCCTCACAAGTGAGAAATCCCTGTCCCTAGAAAGCTAGAGAAGGTTAAGGCTCCTGAATTGAAGTCCCCAACCCCGCCTTGGAGGGCCTCACAGCATGATGGAACAGGAGGGTCCAGTCAGCCGCTCCGGGGCTCAGAGCCGGCTAAGGCCTCTCCTCGGGAGCGTGGACACTGAGAGGCTGGGGATGAGGGCAGAGCTTTTGTATAAAGAAGAACTCCTCCCTATTTCACAGGATGTCAGATGTCAAGAGAGAAATATGGAAAGACTTTCAGCCCCTGGGCAAGTACCTGTTGGGGGCAGGGGCCACCAGCTATGCCTAACAAACCCTGGAAGGAGTCTACAGGGACTGAGAGAAGGCTGAGGTCAAGACACAGTGCTCACGGAAAGAGGGGCCCCTTTATCATTCAGGTAAGGTGAGGTTCTCAATCCCAGCATAGTTCTCCACCCAGCAGCTATTTAGCTGGAACAGAACCAGTTTGAAAAACGTATTTAAAAGCCTCCTTTTTGAGTTCATGGTTTGGTGCTTTAACATCCTTCTCACTGCCCTAATTCTGAACAAGCCCAGCTGGAACCCCCTGATATCAACCCCAACCCCTGGACTCCAGCTCCCCATCTCCCCCACACCGCCATTTGCCTTTGAGCCCTCAACCCCACCCTGGACCCCGTTAAAGGCTTCAGCTCACAGGTCCCACTCTGTTTCTGCCCACATGTGTTTGGTTGAGCACCCTGCTGACTGTGCCCCTGTGTGGCACGCACTGAATATGATAAACTTCTTCCTTTTGAGCCATGTTCTTGTCTCCTCCTGAGACCACTCTCACTCTGCCATGTTTCACCCAACATCTGCATTTTTAGATCTGAAAACCTGAGAGAGAATCACATCAGTACCTGCCCTCGTCCCCTTCCTGAGCAATGACGTCTCTATGTAACAGGCATCTGTATCCCGGTTTCCTCCACTCACGCTCACTCCTCCCTGGGAAGGTCCGAACTCAGGACAATCTGCTTTTGTACCTGGCAAAGTCACCGAGACCCAGAGGACAAGCATGCCTGAGAAATATTCAGCTCACACCAATACAGGGCTGAAATCAATCCAGACCTAGGGAAGCTGCAGGAAATTTAACTGCTTGGATGAAATCCTCTTGCTAGTGACTCATAACAGATTAAGAACCCAAATCCAAGGCAGCCTCTCTAGAGAGCCTGCTTTTTAACAAAGTGTGGCTGGAGAAAAACCCACACACCCTGTCATTGCTAGTTTGATGGAGTAAAAAAGTGTGTGCTTCAAGAATGCATACTTCCCACAGAATAGAGTCTCCATCAAATATTCTTTGAGGACTGAGACACATGTACACAGTGGAATGCCTTTAAATATACACATACACACTTCTATAGTGATATTTTTATATATTTTTTTCCACAGGTTACTTTCATGATTAGCCTAGCCTGACTTATGCATGGATCTTTAGGAAAATGACTATTCAATCATTCTCTACTACCCCACAACCTGAAAGCTTGGAAGGCAACGTCAGGGTAACTGGCTGTGCTAGGCAGCCTCTAGGATGGCTCCCAGTGGTCCCTACCTAGTGATATTCATGGTCTTGTGTAATCCCCTCCCCTCGAGTAACTTGCTCCTAACCAGTACAATAAAGCAACATTGAGGGGATGTCCTTTTTGTGATTATGACTTCCATCTGGCTAACAGAGTTTCTCCACTCACTGGCTTTAATAAAGTAAGCTGTCACGTTGGAGAAGACCACAGGACAAGAAACAGAAGGCAGGCAACAGCCAGCAAAGAACTGAGGCTCTCAGTTCAACAGCCCTCAGGGAACTGAATCCTGTCCATACCAAGAGAGGATCTCTCCCAAGGTAAACTTTCAGATGAGACCTCAGCCCTACCGGGCATCTTGATGGCGGCCTTGTGAGAAATCCCAAAGCAGAGGACTCAGCTAAGCCACTCCTAAGGTTCCTGATCCACAGATAATAAATATGTATTGTTTTAAACTGTTATATTTCAGAATAACTTATATGTCAATAGATAACTAATACACTGGGGAAGCAATTGATGGGCTTGGAATGTTTTTAAGTTTGTGGGTTCAAGAGAGACTCCTGAAAGTAGAGAACCACAGAAAAAATAGGGACAACTGAAAATGACAGAAATAAGAAAGGACAATAACAACAAAGAATAGCAATACTCTGAAATTCCCAGCATGGAAAAGTAGCCAATTTCAGGGTCCTAATATGACTCTCTAAAGTAAACTAAGTCTTGCAGGACAACTGGAAGCATAAAGAAGGTAGAGAAAATGATTGTAGAAGAGATTAGAGGAAGAAACATCCAACCTAAATTAACATTCTGGTTATGAATATTCATCATATCTAGGCTGCAATTAATTTCAACTTCTTTGCTTTAAAAAACAGAGCCAAGGAATTAAATACCTTAAAAGCAGGAGAGCTGAGCAGCCAGATGTCTAAATATAAAATTCTACAGAAAAGATTTATTTTTCTCTGTGTAGTCTCACTTCTGAGAGCTGGTATCTGGTTAAATCAAACTGAATAATAAGTTTAATAAGTTATTCCCACTGTTGGGCTTCTGTACCTTACCTTGACCCCCCCCCCATACCTGTAGATGGTATCCTCTACCTGTAAAGAATATATCTGTTACAAATGGAGCTCTTCGGTCAAGTGGGGCAAGCATCTGTGAATTACAAATTGACCTCATTCTAATTTGAGAAACACTTGAGCTTTATCTAACACTAGAGCTGAGGGTGTTTGTTAAAGAGGTTAATAGTCTTGTTACATGACCAGGCCAAATACCAAGACACACAGGAATCCCAACTGAGGTGAACATCCTTCAATAACCCAACACCAAAAATATCTATTTAGGAAAAAAAAAAAAAAAACCAAAACAGGACTGAACAGAGCCAGAGCTTTGGGTCACTTCAATATAAACTGTATTTTCAGGAAAACCATACAGCGGAGCTTCTGTACAGAAGTGGAGACCTGAAGAACAAGGCTCAGACAATGCCCAGTGGCCTGCCACAGCTGGGGGAGCAGAGGGCTCTGCTGCCGTTACACACCTGTCTAGTCAGCCTGTCCTGCTGAAACCAAAGGAAAAAAGGAACAGGAGAAGAGAGAGAACCAAACATCTGGCAAGGAGAAAAGGGGCCCGTGCTATTGAGATCCGCTGCAAAGCTCCCAGGAGTTACATGGCTGCTCTTAGCAAATCAGCTCAGCGAGCCAGGTGTGTGGCGGCAGATGCAAACAGCGATTCAAGGAGAGGGGAAAAGCCTGACTTCTAGGGTTATGTTACCAAAACAGGCCAGTTCCCATTCCAAATGCCTTCCCCATCATTCTCTCCTCAGTGTCTTGTTTTACTGCAACTGTGTAACTGACGTGAAACTGAGTTTCAATCTGACCACACACCATTTGGCATGTTTAGAAAATTTTTAGTGGTTTATGTAGATTTACTGGATAATCTCTGTTTTAAAGTACTACTAATCCTGGTTTCACGAACATTTATACCCAGAGAGTTATGTCTAGACTTTAAATAACAACCTCACACATTATTTCTAAGTTACATTTGAACGATAAGCCCTACCTTCTGGTTTAATGATTTTGAAAAATACTGTATGAAGCCTTAAAGATAGTTAAATTTCTAGAAGTTTTGAGGAGTTAGGTATGCATTAATATCTTTTTATATCCATGGAGTTCTTTCTTTTCTTCTCTTTTGGGAGAAGACAGGAAAAAATTAGAGAGAAAGAATTGCATGTGTACTTAGAGACTGCTTAAAATATATCACTTCCGCCAGGAGAACAGCACAACTAGAAGTGCCAAATTAAGCCATTAACCAAACAGGGTGACAGACAGAGACTTCCTAACAGGGGGACAGAAGAGTGCAAGCTGCCCTAAGTTCCTCCAGCCTACACTCGCTCCAAGGAACAGAAGGTCACAGCTGGAAGTGTGGCTCCCCAGCACTCCAGGGAAGCCTCATCCAAGGACAACCATATGTGCTCACCAACCTCGTCCAAAGGAAACCACCCTTGGCCCCCCTTTCTGACTCAAAGCATGTTTTTTCTCTTTCTTTTGGCAATTCCAAGGCTGTTTGAAAAGGAAGGGAGAGGTCCTGCCTATATGGGTATGTGCTGACCCACAGCTACTCACCGGCACACTGGTGTCCATCACCAGTGTAGCCAGGCAGGCAGGTACAGCCAAACTTCCTGCCTCTGTAGTGAATGCACCGGGCCGTCGCAGCAGGAACACAGTGGCTACCATCCTCACAAGAGCTGGGAGGTGGGGCAATCACTGAAAAGAGAAGGCAGCCATGTCCAAGAGCTCAGATCTGTGAATGGGTAAGCCTGACTCCTCACAGCACAGCATGATCAACAGACAAACAGAATTGGCACACCTGGGGCTTGTAAGGAATGCAGGTTCTCGGGCTCTGCCCCAGAGCCAGTGGGTCAGAATCTGAATTTTAGCAAGATTCCTAGATGGTTCATATGCATATTAAAGTTTGACAAGTGCTGGCATGGGTTTGTGGTTAAAATATTAGGCATGAGGATCAGTCATACAAACAGTTCTTGATTGAAGTTTATAACCCTCCAGAACCATTGCTATACACACATACTCACACGTGCACACACATACACGTGCACACACTATTTCTACTATTATTGCTATTTTCTTATCCCACTGGATTAAAGAGTTTACTTTCTCTGTTACCATAGAGCTCTACCAATGGGATGAATTTGGTATTCTAGTTCTTTTGAATCCATTTTTAGGTCTAAAGTATTTTTTGAAGTATTTTTTGGAACCATAGAAAGGGTATATTTATTACACATGGAGCTATTTGGTTGGTCAAATGGGACAAGCATCTGTGAATTACAAATCTACCTCCTTCTAATTTGAGAAACACTGAAGCTCTAACTAGAGCTGAGGGTGTTTACTACATAGTCTCATAGTCTTGTTAGATGATTGGACCAGGAATCCCAACTGAGGTGAACATCCTTTGATAACTCAACACCAAAAATATCTATTTAGGAGAAAACAATGAAAATAAACAAACAGGGCTGAACTGAGCCATAGCTCTGGGTTATTTCAGTGTAAATTGTGTTTTCAAGAAAACCATACAGTAGAGCTTCTGTACAGCAGAAGTGGAAACATTAATGAATTAAAGAGCAAGATTCGGCACCATTTTGGCCGAAAAGAGAAAGGACTTTGGTACTCACAGATGCAAGTGTGCCGGTCATCTGCTAACTCATAACCACTCTGGCACTCACACCTGTAACTTCCCTTAAAGTTGATACACTCAGAGTTGGGGCCACAGCGATGGGAGCCAGTGTCACATTCATTTATGTCTGGGGAGAAATGAGAGCATTAAAGTGCTGCTTAAATCAAGGTCCCAGGAGTGGAAGGTCTGAAAACTCAAATGTTTTCTCACATCTACGATGCTTCAGTGGGAGCAATGGTTAGTGGACTAAACAGGAATGAAAACGTAGGATTTCTAAGCCTCACATATGGATGCATGTTGCACATCAGAAATAATAAAAAATTCGGGTCATTCAAGTATAAGCCACAGGGAAACCATTTTTAATGAATATTCTAAGAATCTTTAGATGATTTAAAAATAATAAATATTTAGGGCTGGCCCCGTGGCTCACTTGGGAGAGTGCGGCGCTGGTAGCGCTGAGGCTGCGGGTTCGGATCCTATATAGGGATGGCTGGTGCGCTCACTGGCTGAGCGTGGTGCAGACCACACCGTGCCAAGGGTTGCGATCCCCTTACCAGTCAAAAGTAATAATAATAATAATGATAATAATAATAATAAATATTTAGAAAGAAAACACTCTGTAACAATTTTTCCTTTAAAATATGAAGGAATTTCTACTGTGGCTTTTGGGGATATAATAGGTGAAAGAAACACAGTGTCTGAAACTTAAAGAACACCAGAAAACGTGTCTTTTAGTAAATCTAAGAACTACTTAATAGAGGTTCGATATCACAAAATTTAACTCAAAATATCTAGGAATTGCAATAGATGTTTCCTTTTCATAGCCCCACCCCAAAATACCTGCCTCCAAACTATCCTTTCCAAACTAACCAGACTGTGCTTTAGTTTTTAAATAACTCCATTCAGATTAATAACTGCTAAAATCATTGTTCAGTGGAGATCTCAAAGACGACAGACACTTGTCTTCCACAGACACAATGCTGGAGAAGGCAAAGTGAAAACAAAGGCTACATGAGAGAAACACAGAATATGGCTCTTACCCACACAATTCTTCCCATCTCCCTGGAATCCAGGGGCACACTCGCAGGTGTAGTCTACACCTGTCCCTGGAAGGCACCGTGCATTTCTGTCACATCCATGTGTCACACGATAGCAAGGATTCACTGGAGTGGGGTCTGATTCCTCTGGGTAGGGAGGAAATAAAAAACAAAAGCACAATTTGGCTGTTGTAAAGAGAATGGCAGGAAAGAAAGGAGATAGAAGAGTCCTTGGAACTGACCGTACGCTCGTCTGTGTTTTGTGGCACGCCTGGAGACCGTTCTAAATTATTAATAACCATACTTAGGGTGGATTATCTGCATCTCAGTTTTAAATTGCAGAATAACTTCCTCTTGCCTACCCTACAGAGAACTAGTACCTTTTCTTGCCTTCAGTAGGTTTGTTTGTGTCCAGAGAATAAAAATATGCAACACATCCTCTTATTTAAAAGATGACAAATATGTCAGCATAAACCTAGCTCCCCAAATCACACAGACACCCATGGAAGGGCCTCCCTCTGGATGTCTTGGCAGATGGGAAGGAAGCACAGCACTGGGGCTGTTGTTGCTGTGCTAACTGGAGAGTACAGACCAAGTTTCTGAGTCAGTTTCCAGCACGTGCTACGACTGAGAACAACAGGTCATGCCCTCCCTGCAGGCTCAATGTAAGACAAGAACCTGATTTCCCCCCATTATTATTTCTCCATTTTTAGAGCAGTTTCTGTACAAAATGCCGGGCCTACCCCACCAAAGGGAGAAGTAATCTTCAAAATGTGTTTATTTATAAATAGTAATGCTCAGCCTTCTTATTCAGTACTTTCCAGCATCAGAATTTCACTATGGCACATTCCAACAAAGATTAGTGAGTTCACATGGACGTCAGGAGCTTACCACCCTGCTAGGCATTAAAAGAAAAAAAATGCAGCTCAAAATTTGACTTGCAAACTTGAACAGGATACACTATTCTTAATGAAATTGAGGAGAAAACGTACATAACTACACATTACTGATTTACAATGCACTACACTAACAGGACCAACTACATAATTTGACAAACCCAGTACAAAATGAAAATGTGGTGTCCCTTGTTCAAAGACTAAGAATTTCCAGACAGTGACAGCAGGACACCAAACCAAGCACAGAGCTCTCCTGTGCGGGCCCTGTTCACTGAACTTGGCTTCCAAAAACATTTTTAAAATACATTTCCGAAACCATTCCACTTTCATTCTCTATGGCTCGCCTGCTTTTCTCCTATTATAGTAAGTAAAGAACGGCAATGTCCTTGTTAAGACATTTCATATTTCGCCCTCACTCCCTGAAACTGCTTGACTCTCTGACAGAGGGGCTGGAACTAATTTACTCATTTCAGCAAGGAGAAAAGAGCAGTTTTCCTTAAAGGAACAGCACGCTCAGCTTCACCGCAAGGTCCTCTGCCCACATCTCAACTGGCTAGCAGGACCCCTGAAGTGAAAGCATTCCTAGATCCTGTTCTATGACCCCACAAAAACAGCCAACCACACTTGAAGCTCAAACACTCGTAGCAGGGCGCTGATGGTTGGGGGCCAGCAAGGGCTGCAGGCTCTGATTACTCTCTGGGAAAGAGGCTCATTCTGCATCCTGAACCCTGGGAAAGCACGGCTCTCCCACATCAGGGGCAGGCAGCTGTGCTGTTTTCTCTGCATTCCAACCAGATAATAGCCCCCTCTGGAAAAAGTGGAAGGCTCTTAAGAAGACTGCTAGGCACACAGAGGGGAACAAATTTTTTTCCCCCATTTTTCTCCTATTCAGATAGGATGAACGGTACTCTAATGGGTGAATGAGTTAGGGTTTAAACACAAAGGGTTTAAAAACACATATTGCGGGCCGGCCCGGTGGCGCACTGCTACAGTGCGCCGCTTGAGAGCGCGGCAGCGCTCCCGCCGCGTGTTCGGATCCCATATAGGGATGACCGGTGCGCTCACAGCGCTCACTGGCTGAGTGCTGTGCAGCCGGTCTCAAAAAGGACAAAAAAAAAAAAAAAAAAG